AAAATTGTATATGTATAAATTACAACATTATATCTACTCTATATAACAATCTAGTCCCATTTTTATCTTTTTATCTTTCAGATATTAATCTTATTTTGTACAATATATATAAAACCATGAACAAAATTTTAACACAAATTCAAGAGTCTTTAAAATAGATTTAGCATCTGAAAAGTAACATAATACAAGATAAAAGATAAAAATGGGACTAGATTGTTATGTAGACTAGATATAATGTTGTAATTTATATGTGTATATATATATATATATATATATACATATATATATATATAATATATGCCAGGATGTGTTTGGAAAGTGATGATAATCTTTCGCATAGGGGCAGAATGGACTAAACTGAGAAAAAAGTCCTCTAGCATTTTACGATTTTAGCAATAGTTGATAAGATATTAATTGCTACAAATTGTCGAAAATTGGTTTTCAATAATGTTTTACTCAAATACTATCAATTTTACAGAAAAACTGCAAGAGACAAAAATTTATTTTTTCTCATAGAACTCTAAGAATTTTTTCAGAATTTTTTATCAACTTTTTAGGACTGCATTTTCTTATTGTTATCAACATGAGAAAATACGATATTAAAAAATTCTCAGAACTTTATGAGAAGAAAATAAACAATTTTTGTCTGTTACACTTTTTCTGTAAAGTTGATAGTATTTGAGTAAAAAATTATTAAAAATCAATTTTTGGCAATTTTTAGCAATTAATATCTTATTAACTATTGCTAAAACCGTAAAATGATAAGAGGACTTTTCTTTTTAGTTTATGTCCAATTTTTTCATCTCTAGATAACTTTATCCAAGAAATATCTCTTATATATATATATATATATATATAACATTTTTAATAAGAAAAGCATTTAAGCAATCTTTCATAAAATTTCCTCAGTTTCGCTAGTATTCATTTTTATCAATGTAAATTTATTTTAATCTTGGTTTAACTTACTTTTTACTGTTCTAAGAATTAGGGAATGGAAATAACTGTAACAGGATATTTTTAAAAATTACTTTCCCCATTCTCTGCTAAGAATTACAAAGAGATAAATTAAACTAAAAGATTAAAGCTAATCTAAATTGGTAGAAATAGAAAAGATTTAAGTACACACACATGAAAAAATATAATTAAATAATCTTTTTTCATAAAACTTTTTCAATTTTGTGATGTTAATCTTTACAAAGGTAATAACTAATCTCTTAGTTTAAGGACCGATTGTTCCACCTTTTGGTAAATTTTATCTGTGAGGTAAATCTGGTAATCTATGTATGTGATTGGGTAATCTTGCTACTTACCCAACAGGTAAAATTTACCAAAAGGTGGAACAACTGGCCCTAAGAGCTTGGCTTATATTCTTTATCTCTTTTCTAGTATTAGAACTCTAAAAAGAGATAAAAAATAGATAAATTAAAGTGACTAACACGAGGCTGCTTTCCTTTTAGGAAACATAAATATGTCTTTGTTATATATTGAATGTCAAGAAAGACAGAACGACGTTTATGTCAGCTATGTCTCCTCTCAAAAGTAACCTGAATTGGTAGAAATGAACTCAAGTTAGAGTATCACTTTCAATACAAATATTTATAGAATCCCCGAAGGGGAGCTGAAACAATCTTTCCCAAACGTCACGAGCTTCTCTCGCAATTACAAATCCTCTCAAGTCTCGTACAAATCGCGTCGTCGACACGAGTGCAACAAGTGTCGAACGCCGGAGGATCGTGTTTTCACGTGCGTATATATATATATATATATGGAGGAATGCGATAGGGCGGGGATAAGATAACATTCGTGCATTTTTGTCGTAGAAATTTTTTAAAGTCAGTTAACGGGCTGCAAGACGGAGAGGTCCTCGGATTTCTCCATTTCACAGCCAATCAACAGGTTTGAAGTCGTACAACAAAAACGCACAAATATAATGCCATCCTGACTGAGAAAGGTCAAGGCGAAGGCAGCTCAAGGACGCAGCGGTCGTTCATTACCTTCCCAAAGAACCGGCCCTTAATGTAACTCTTGCCGGTGTTCTTGTCGTATATCACGTTCGGTATAGTGTTCTCCTCCTCATTCGACATAATGCAATCGATGTAATCGCAGTGACGAACAAACCCGCTGTCGTATCGCCGTCGTACGTGGTGATATTACTCGATGACGCCGTGTGTGGTTATCAGACAGACACGTTTTGCCGCTGCCACGCCGTGGCCGCTGTCGTGTCGTCGATCCCGACCTACGTTTTCGCCCCCCCGAAATCACGTTACCGGCAATACCGGCCGGCAGAGATTCGCGCGTTTATCGTATACTTCAATGACCGATGCGCACTGCTTTACGTTATACCCGATCGGTTCTCAATTCTACCCTTGTTCTTCCGTGCCTGCGAGAAAAAGAGCCGTAGTGAGGATGTTGACGGGAAAGAGCAAAAGAAGAGTGAACGGCCGTGAGCGCGGACACGCTACCGTACCGCAGGAACACCCACTGAATTCGCTGCTCACCGTACTTCTGTTCAATTCAAACCGCCTAGCAGTCCTAGCACTCACGGTCACGAAAGACGTGCAACGCCAACGGCTCACCGGTTTAAATGACGCATAGTCGGCCAATCGCCGCGCGCGCCGCCTGGGTCACGTGGCTCGGCGATGTGGGGATATTACCATCTGGGATATAGCCATCTGTCCCCAGCGAAGGCAAGCTAGGGTTTTTCTTTATTTTTGTGGTTAGCTGCTTGCGTTAAGAAGCGAGCGCGCGGCGCGCCAGGGGCTCTATTCTTGAAACGAAACATATACACGAAAAGTCTAGGGAAATGCTACAGTATACGTTACATATACTATAGTATTTTCCTAGACTTTCGTATACGTTTCTTTTCAAGAATAGAGCCCCAGAACAATTGCTGGTTTCACATTGGATCCGACTAGAGGCCTAGATAACAGAGATGCGACATTGAAGGGTCTGATTGACTGTCTAAATCAAGTGATCAGAGCGCCATTTTAATTCATTACTGCGTATAATTAGAGTCCTAGGACTCTACGTATAGAGTCTAATAATGTATGTACGTATAATGGGGAAAGGCTCCGATTGATCACGGCTCGATTGGACACCACCAATCACAGCGACCGGTGCTTAGGAGCTTTGTAGTCTCAAGCACTGTGAGTGGCTCGTGTCCAATTGAGCTGTGTCCAACTGGGTGCCATCCCAATCTTCAATGCATAAAGGTGCATTCACATGCAAGCGTCAAGCAACGAAAGTAGCAACCAATCAGCTGTCGATACGAGCAGTAAAATAAAAATATTTTTTACGCCACTGTAAAAATCGCCTCGTTGATTGGTTCCTACTTCCGCTATTTGACACTTACATGTGAATGTACCTTAATACGAGCATTAATTAAGAAGAACGGACTCGAGAAATGGGCCTCTTCCGATTGTCTACATCAAAGATATTATATCTTCGACATTATTGTTATAATAAAGTGATAGTATATATAATATAATAATAAATTGATGATTATATATAATAACAATAATACGTGTACGTAATATAAAATTTATTATATAGTGAACTTGTATAAATTTTATTATTAAAGATTATATTACAATAAAACATGATAATTTACTATAATAATTTGCTATACATTTTCTGATGTGTTGTATTTAAGTATGTACCCTTGGGCCTTTAGATAAATAAATTACTATAAATTAATATTGAATGCTGTTGGTGATTGGAGCCCGCTGTTGGCAGCGGATACGAATAAATGATGTGAGCTGACTCACGCAGTCCTTGCAAATCAATCCTTCTTTTTCCGTTTAATGCTGCGAATTGGATGGACAAATCGCTCCGGACATCATGCGCGCGCGTGAGTTACGTCATTGAACACGTGATCGGTCTCAGGCTCGTACTAACGTTGTGTGGAATGTCTTTCTCTCGCATAAATTATTAATGCTATTTACGTCAATAATTCACGTACTATTTGCATTACTTTTTACGTCAATAATTAAGCGCTATATGTGTTAATTATTCAATTTAATTAATGTATGCGTGTGTATGTTTATATATGTAGTAAAAGAATTTATCAATTGGATAAATTAAAGAAAAATTTTATATCTTAATGTTATTATTATATATATTTAATAGTTTTCATTTCGTGTCCTTCAAAGATGATATTATTAACTTTAATTAATGGTAAATAAAAAAAAACCTAAATTATTCCAGATTTTGTAAAATTCCACATCTGGAACTATAGAATGAAAAATCTTATCTCAGAAATCTTAGATCAGAATTTACATATATACATGAAAAATTTTAGAAAAAATGTGGACGAATTTCTAGACACTTTTAAAAATTTAAATTTGTGTAAAATATCAGAGAAATTTTCGAAGAAGTAATGAAATCGTTCAAAAGTTTTGAAAAATTTTGGAATTTACATAAAAATTTTGATGAATTGCTAAAATTTGGAACTCTGAAAAAATTAAAAAATTTTTTTAAATATTCTGAAATTGCATAAAAATTTTGATGAATGATACGAAAAAGTCTAAGAAAAATTTCCACCAAAGTGTGCCAATAAATTGTACGGCTAAGGGCCACTTTCACCAGCAAGCTTATAGCGTTTTCGGCCCGATCGGGTTTGCACCAACCTGGGTTGGATTAATCTTTCCTATTGGTTGACGTCCCGCTCTACCAATAGGAGAGCACAAAACGCCATTAATCCAACCCAGGTTGGTGCAAACCTGACCGGGCCGAAAACGCTATTAGTTAACTTAACCAACCTAGTAACTGTAATTAAATAGAAAGAGATAGAACTATTTCTATCTCTTTCTATTTCATTACAGTTACTAGGCTGGTTAAGTAAACCGACGAAAGTGGCCCTAAAAGTGTCGCTCAAGTTTAGTTCCCGCGAGGGGACTAATGCTACCCACCGTTCCGGCGAAATGTGTACGCGCCTGAGATGAGTAACAGCGTCTGCTAGCGTCTGCCGCGCATGCGCCGAGTTTGTCCTTCCAATTCGCAATTTCACAACACTACTTCCGCTACGGTATCCGACCTGCCGACGTCCATTTTGCTCGCTTGTTGGTGCGAGCGTCCCTGATTTATGAGACGTCTTTATAGCCGCCTGCTTATCGTAAGTAAACATCAGTTTCTGTAAATCGTTTCGTTTCGTGAATCCGGGATTCCGGGTTTTTTCCGATAGTTCACTTCAATAAATCTGACGTCGTGTCTCTGAGACGCGTTCCCGCGAGGGGACATTTTTCATAGAACTTTCCGGGATAGCGTCGGTGATACGCCGTGACTCGCCGCATCTTGTTAAAACTCGCCGAGACCTGAATAAAAGAGGGGTAAATAAAGAGATTCACACGCAATTCGGTACTTCAGCTTAGAAAGGAAGAGTGAAGGAGAGCATTTAGATTATTTTTTACAATATTCTCCGTATTTGCATAGGCACTGATAACTAGCATTGTAGATTATCTTTTGTTGAAAGAATTTGATGGAAAATTTCATTGAATTGCTTTCAGATTAGACAAATACGTTACATTCTATGGGACTGTGAATCTGTGTTCTGGAAATTTCTGAATTCAAGATTCCTTGACCTTCTAATTCTTGGATTTATTAATTCTGAAATTTTTCATGTCCTCAAGCTTTAACTTTTATAGATCAGTGCTGTTCAAAATTTGTAATTCTAGGTATTGATTTGATATGTCAGCATTTATGCCTGTTGCTCTTTTTTTATTTACATCTTCATCAAGAAAAAAGAAGGCAATAGGCATCAGGTTCTTTCCACTTGGTGACACAAACCAGTACAAGTCGTTTTATCTTTGTTATTCACTGAAATCGCAAAAAGAAAATAGAATGATGTTAACGTTTTTGATTATAGTGGGCTTTGAACCGATCCTTGTTGGATTAATGACGCTGGAAGCTCTAATATTGGTAGAACATGTAGCGTCAATCAATAGCAAAATATCAATCCAAGTCAAGTCGGTTTAAAACCTGCTACAGTCAAAAACGCTATGTGCCAACTTGTCATTATGGAAAGCCATAGGCTGCATTCAGTTTCACGCATGATATGCATGCTGCATTATTTATCCTTGTTATTCACTGAATGTTAAACAAAGATAAATGATACATCATACGCATCATGCATGAAACGGAACGCAGCCTTAGACACTGGACGTTTACCAGCAAGAATGCAGTAAAATATTTTATCCTTGTTTAACATTGGCAAATAAGAATATAATAGTTCACTGTATTACACTAATGTTCATTGCTATCAATATAGTTTAATCTTAATCTTGGTTCAACTAACTTTTCATCTTTTCCTAATTCTAAAAATTAGAAAAAGGTAAACAATAAATTGAACTGAGATTAAAGTTGATTTACATTGATAAAATCAGGCATAAGTTTGTTTTTTTTAGCTGAACTTGTTATACATGATTCATCTTTTCCTTTTTCTCTAATATGGAGAAAAAAGGAGAAGAGATGAACTCTACAAGAAGTTCAACTAAAAAGGACAAGCCTATTGTATCATTTCTAGAAAACGTCCATTGATATATATCAAGCAAGTATCTACAATTACAAATTTTGAATAGCTGATCTATAAAGTTGAAGCTTGAGAGTATAAAAAAAATTTCAGGATTAATTATTATAAATACATTTACGTTATTGTACCTCAAAATTTGTAGATTATACTTCTAGAATTGATATAAATGAATCAAAATATGTTACAGGAAGTTTGAATAATGGAGGGAGCACCAGGAGGTGGTAGAGGTAGTTTTCGAGGCCGTGGAGGCCCAGGTGGAGTAATGAGGGGACGCGGCGGTTTTGGAGAGAGAGGAAGGTAAGGAAAGAAAGAATTTAATCAAATTGTACAAATAGAGATGCTTATGTATGTAATATAAATATGAAAGAAATAACTGATATATTTATTTCGCAACAGAGGTGGTCCTCCTCGAGGTGGTAGCATGATGCGTGGCGGACGAGGTAATGGACCTGGCGGGAGAGGAGGTCCACCCATGAGAGGCCGAGGTGGCCCTCCTGGCAGGGGTGGACGAGGTGGACATTTTCCTCCAGGGTAAGCATTTCATTATTATATATTTTATATTTTATATTCTAATAAAATTGATCATATTTTGTAAAATATTTAAATTTGTCATTAATTCATAAATTGTATATTAATTTGTTTTCAATATTATGAAAAATATTAATATATTTAATAAATGTACATTATTAATAATACATTATTACTTTGTACTTTCTACTAACGTCTGTTGATAAATTTATCGCGAAATGTGATTTTTGAGAATTGTTGAATTACAAGGTCTTATAAATCTTTTATATATTTTTAATAATAAAGTTTATAAGTTTGTATTAGAAGCTAATATAGTTTTTTATTGATCATTCACATAGACCACCAGAAGCAGGTATGTCTAGTGGACCTGGAGGTGGACCACCACCCCTAGGAATGGGTGGTCCTCCACGAGGTGGTGGCGGAAGGGGCGGTGGCAGTAATAGCTTCCGTAGCAGAGGCAGAGGAGACTTCGGCAGGGGAGATAGCCGTGGAGGTAGCAATAATTTCCGAGGTCGTGGCATGGATAGAGGTAGAGGAGGATCCAGGTGAGAGTTAACTCATAGCTCCAAAAAATAATTTATTTATTTAAACCTGAGTAAAATTATTTATGTAATGATGGTTACTGTTCTTTTGAAAACTTCTTGATAAAAGTTTTTTATATTTAAAGTAATAGATCCAATTCGACGGCTTGACAGTCGGAAAAATAAATTTTTGTGAAACTAAGATATTTTTAACATCAAGAAGTCATGATAAAAAAATATGTATAAAGAGAATTGAATAAGACGTCCACACTACAAGACACAAGCGGTGAAGCAATAAAGTTTATTAGTATATAAAGACGAGGCATAAGTTTTTATTTGTGAATATATGTAGTGTCACTGGTTACTTAATAGTTAATTTTAGTATTAGAAATAGGCAAAACAAGCAAATGACAAGAGCAAGCATAGAAATTACAATGACTACGTTTACACGACTTGATTTATGCCGAAGTTATAACATTGATGTTATGAAACTGGTCGTGAAATCGAGCCGTGTAAACGGAGTCCATATGAAAAATATATAATATAATATAATAAAAACATATAAAAATATATAATTATAGTGATGCTCCCGTTCTGTAAAAATTAACGATAATTTTATTAATGTGATAGAATTATATTTTTATTCAAATGCAATTTATCGTTTCAGAGGAGGGTCAAGCAGAGGTGGACCCAGCCGTGGTGGCTTCGATCGTGGTGGTCGGGGGACTGGTGGTGGACGTGGTGGGCCTACAAAACGAGGAGGAGGCCCACCTAGCTCGAGTGGACCCTCCAAAAGGCCACGCTTTGATCAGCCGTCTTCCCAACCATCTAACGGTTACGCCACTCAACCTCCTAGGTGAGTATCACAGAAACTTTCTTTTTATCATAACGTTCAAAAGCATTTTTTTCTTGAAAACTAAATATTGAAAATTAAATTGACGTGTGTAATTTTAGTCATGTGTTTACCAAATATCGAACATTAATTAAAATTTTTTATGCGAGTGTGTTTATTAGGATATTTAATGAGACAATATATACAAAAGAGAATTATCAAAATTGTATTACTTAAGATATTTTATATTTCTCACACTAATTTTCAATCAATATGAAAGATTAAACGTTTACTATTATATATGTTTAATCTTTTGTCAAGAATAAATTAATTTATTATATATACTTTTTATAACATATTATAAAAGGTTTAATTTAAACTATCTAAGCTAAGTATTTTCTAAAACTCATACTTATCTCTGTTTTCAAAACATACCTTCTTTAGAAATAATAAATTTGCGAAAAAATAAAAAAATATGTATAGATATTATAACAAATATAATAACAAATTAAACAATATTGAAGAGATAATAATACAATATACAATTAATAAATAGTTACAATTTATATTTTTCACATAAAAATCCAAAAATTATCAATGAAGTATATTAATAAGACACAAAGAAAATGAATGTATTAACAACACATTTTGCTTTTGAATGATAATAGCCAAGGTTACGGAGGTTCAAGTAACGCTTACAGCAGTCAACAACAACCGCAGCAGCAACAGTCCGTAGGATACGGTAGCGGTGGCTATGGCTCACAGCAAGGCTACACACAGTCTTATCAGGGCTATGAGAGTTATCAGCAGCCTCAGGATTATGGACAAACGGTAAATGAAATTGATAAGACAATACATATATCCGAGACAATTCTGAAAACAAAATCCACGAATTATTTTTAATTATTTGAATATTAAAATACATTCTGGATTTTTGAGCATTAAATTTAATTAAATTATTCCAATAAATTTAAATAATTACACAATTGTAATCTCTCGAAATTAATAGAATTTTCTATTGGTGTTAATTAAAAAAACTGTTAATTGTGTTTTCAATCAGAATCCGTGATTATTTTGTCTCCTTTGATTCCAGGGTTATCCACCGTCCGCAGCAGATAGCAGATACGGTGGGGCGTCATCGGTTCCAGCTGCAGGATTCGGCGCTAACGATCCGTACAGTTACGGCAAAGCTCCGCCGTCAGGTGAGTTATAGACACTAAAGAGGTGTTGTATGCGATGTGCGTCGTTACTTTTCCTGTTACAATTTGTGTATCTTTGTCTCTCGCTAATTAATTTTGATCAATTCCTCATGATCTAATAATTTGAAGTTATATTTTTTCTAAAACTTCCAGATCTTTAAATTTTTAATTCTAAACGTGACCTTCCTGTAATAATAATTTGAAATAAAAATTCAAATCATGAAGAATTGATTAAGCTTGACGCATTTGTCGTGTAACGTTGACAGTACTTATCACAACAGTCTCAAGTACTGATTGTGAGTACTCAAAACGTGCGATAATCTACTAATCGAGTATTCGAGCATCGAATTGAGTAGGTCGGCGAGACACCATATACAGTTATTAATATTACATAATGCATGTCTAGCCGATTACCAGCAGGAGGCAGTGTCAACCGCGGGACCGGGGGGCGGGGCCGGTTATGTCTCAGCTAATCCATATGACGACCGATCTAATGCCAACATAATCAACCGGGGTTATTCGACGCAACCTTATGGTTAGTTGTTTCGTTCGCTGTCATCGTTCACATTATACAATTCATTAACTACGGCCGTTGGAGCAATCCTTAAGGACTCATTTATCATAAAGATGGAATACTGAATTATTTGCTCGAAGAGATTTTCAGTAAAGAAGTGTCATGATATCAAATTGTGTCATAAAATCATGGTAGGGAATTTAATTATTAATCTTGATGAAATGTTAATTATAAATGTGTCTCGATAAAAGTTAATAAAGTATCAGAAAGTATCAAATAGTTTATTATGTTCTCCATGTAAAACTTCTAGTAAAACATTGAATATAAAATATTGTATACGATGCGATACTCTTTTCTGACAAATAATTTTATGTCTCAATGATAAGTGAGTTCTTGAAGATCACTACCTAATGTTTTTGTTTTCCGGGTTACATCCGAGTTAACACGATTTCGCAATAAAAGCGTAAAACACGATTCGATTCAGATGAGAAACTAAACTTCTAATTTAGACGACAGAAAAGAGAGCAAACGCGCGGCCAATTTGTCAGATCATCGATTTATTAATTAGAAACTCAAATACTTGAATTTCTCGAAGTCTTAATGCTATTAGAATTGAATTTTTTTCAAGTTCTTGAAATTTTCTTGCATTCTCGTTATTTCTCGGATATTTGAATTTTTATCGTTAGATCTGTGTAGAATTTTAAATAGTTTTTTTTTCTTCGAATTTTATTCTACTCGCGATCGATGCGAATGAGTTGCGCAGAGTTACACAAATCCCATTTTGAACGTAATAAGAAATCACACAAAAATTAGATACGGATCCTTTCATCGAGACACTAGCACTGCAGCACTGCCTCCTGCCATCTTTCACTCCAGGATTACAAGGTCCGTGATATGTGCAATTTCTTTCTCACCTAAAACAGAAAAAATATATATAAGTGTATAAATTATCACGTTAAGCCTTTTATTATTCTTTTTCAATATCTCTATCATCTGATTTTATTTATAATATATATCTCTCTTGAATTTCTTAACCTATAATTTAATATTATAATAAAGATTTCTTCGTAGATTTATTTAATTTGTAAGAAAATGTTTTTAAATTATTTTAAGCAATTAAGCGATATTAATTGATTACAATTCATTAACTGTCACTTCCTCATGGAGATGTACTCCGTTGTTTTTTGTATTTTGCCATGACTGCTTTGTCGTTCAATCGACCGTTATATTATGCTAGTTTTTTTTTTTTCGTTATTTCATTCGACTCTTCAGATATTTCTCGTCTGAGTCATTCGCTTCTATATTTTCGGCATTTTTCATGAAGCGTTGTTTGATAAATACGTGTTTTTCTTGTAATTGCAGATTATCCGAGTCAGGACGGTGTTTATGGGAAACAGGACTATGGTAAGTACAACTCGCAGTTCAGAAAAGTTCATTGATCAGAGGAAAACAAATTTAGCTAAGTCGATTGGACAAGGAAATTGTGTTTATGTAGAATTTATACGTGAAATATACTAAATAAGTAATAATAACATACAAAAAACATCCGGAAGGTACAAAAAAAGATATCATAAACAACATATGTTAGTGTATTATTTTATATGCAAGATTTACGACCATTTTCGTACTTTTAACGAGGAAAGTGTAGGACGTTCTATAAAATTTAGGAAACTTTTGGATAGTCGGTGAAATTTCATTATATACACAACAATAATCAAAGACATTATTAAAGATGATTCCGAGAGATTTATGAATTTGAGAATTGCGATTCCCAAATTATAAGGTCAAATCAAATTTAGTTAAACCATGTCGTTTAAAAATCAAGTGAAAATTACAGTCAGTACTGAACACAATGTAACGACTTGTAACGCAAAAAATATATGTACCTGTAGGGCTATTATAGACGATTTAAATATCTATAGTTATGTGTTAGGTACGAGTGCAACATTACAAGAGATATTTAACGACATTATCAACAGCTATTCTTAGTACACCGAAATGTTTGTTGCAATATGTCTTACGAGAACACTCGCAGTACTAAAAGTATTTGCAGTTCTACAAAAAGCGTTTATATTATTACAAGAGCATTTGCGATATCACAAGAACATAATAGCAAAGAAAGATTCTTAATAAGTTTATCCACTTAAACATACACGAGATTTTTGCAATATTCGAGCGTTAGCAAGATTAAAAGACTGTCCACAAAGATATTTACATCACAGAGCTAATCTACAAGAAGTCCATTTTTTTAAGTAATTAAGAATCAAAGGCAAATGAAGTTGTGATATATATTCATTGTACACGTACACATACACACGTCGAAAACGTCGAAAAATAATAGGCAGGTAAAGAATTGGTAGCGATATCGTACAAGGATCTATATAAGTAGGCCGTTCAGTTTTATGTATATGTAGAGAAGCAAGAACACTAATTATATTTCTCGAGTAATGGAACGGAGGAGCTATGGTTGTTTCCAGGTGGCAGTGCTGGTTACCAAAACGCCCAGTCTCAGCGACGTTATTAAAGATATCCGTCACTTAATCAATATCCGCTCATTAATTTTGTATCTAAGTAGACAACAATTCTCCCAGGCGAAAAGAAAAAAAAAACACAGAACAGATCGTATCCATCTTCCGTCGCACGATAAAGAGAATAAACTTTCTCCTTTTAAAACTGCGAAATATATTTGTTGATAGAAGAACGATGACAATCGAGGAATCTTGAAGCAAGGTGACGTAAAATTGTAAAATTGGGATGTACATGCTTGTACGTCGAAGGATTTATCTCTCTTTTTCGTAAAAGCTGATTTGATCACACGTGTTGAAAAAGTTGGGAATTAGTACTGTTAGACATACAACATATGTCGTAATTATTTTATATATATGAATATAAAATTGTCTTTTGCTGAATGCACTTTTTCAATAGACGTATGTGTTTGAAGAATTGTTTTACTCTTAAAATTTAATCTTCTCATTGACTCTCAGCTTTTCTAAGGCACTGCTCCGCGTCACTTTGCTCCCAAGATTTTTTTCACTTCCGCTTGCTTTGTCTTCGTCTCGTGCGCGTTGAATGAACTTGATCGAATTGCTTGATATAGGGAATACATATTTTATACTTGACAATTAGCAATTAATACACACATTATTTCACTACGTCGCCTGTACGACAATCTAGAATTAAGTCCCGGTCGAGCGATTAATCTTCTCGACCGTTTTCTTCACTATTTGCGTAGCGTAATTTATCACAACAGTAATAACTAAAGAAAAACCAGCAATGACAAAAGCGATAACGACGACACTGTAAAGTCGGCGTCCTGTTTTGTAAATAGAAATCATAAATAAACCCTTTTTTTGTGGAGAGGAAAAGTGATGGCAAAGCACGCGATATATGGAACTGTGTACTCTATCCCTGAAGGCTTAGAAGGAGAATAACGTTACACACTGACATAAGCACTTCTTAATATGTCTTAATATTCATTCATTTTGATTAACTGATATCTAAAGTTACTATTTAAAGTTTATATCTATTCAGTTAGATTCAATTGAAAATATCGAGGATTATTTTGAAACTATTGGAAATATTTTATAACTTATTGTAATACTTGTTTGCCAAAATTTTATTGTTTACTGTAATTTTTTGTTAATATTAGATTCATCCATTTTATAACTTATAATTACATAAATAATAATTCTGCAATCTATAACTTGGACAAATAACCGTCACGACCGTCGTCGATGATGAGTCATTAGCAGTTTATCAATGTTATACTGGAGATAATCGTCGATTAAAAATTAAATTAATTAAATTTTCTTATGAAATGGTTAATTTTTCATAAGATTTAATAAAGTTGGCAATTTTGTTGCCTTTTCTTTAACGGTTAGCTATGATTGCAGAAAAAAAAATGTGAGTCTCGGTTGTTTGAATGAGATTTCTTTTCTCGGCAGAGAATCCGACCAGGAGTCGAATAGTATAATGAATTTAACAATGCAGTTATACAATGTCTAATCCTCTGTCGTGCATTATTTTATATTAATTAACGAAACTCGCTTGAAATAATTTGTACTGTTTATTGTATATGATACATCTTTTACGAATAATTCTATATAGCGCATCATGTTGTTATGTCCCGATCTATTGTAAACGATCGCACGATGAAAATGAAAGAAACATTGAAAAAAATGAAGATCGAGAACATCAAAGACTTATACCCTTACCCTTATTGTCACCTTACCTTATAGCACGAGAAACAGAGAAAAAGTGGACGAGAAACACGCAAAAACCAGCAACTGCCCTAGGAAGACAAGCTAATCAAAAAGACTGAATATGGGCGAATAAGTATGATAATTAGACGAAAGATTATCTCGGTAATATAGTAACAAAAAGTAGGTATATATGTGAACATTATTAGGAAACATGGTAGATTAAATGCCATTTCCGACCGAGCCATTCTTTCGTCTATGAATTCTTCGACCGTTTGCAGTCGATTTTTTCTTTAACAAAGGTATCAAAGCATTGTTAGATTGTAAGCAGTCTAGAATGAAAGATTTCTCAGGAAGAGTAAATCTTGAAGACGTGGCGAGAATAGATAGCGAAATTTTAATTATTTTGTAAGAGTTGAAAATTAATTAGAGATATATTCACTGTTAAAAATTGTGGAACTACGACAATGATCTCTTCGACGTTTTCAGTAAGGAAAAATCGACTCCGAACTGGTAAAAAAATACATGGACGAAAGATGAAGACTCATTTAAGAAATCATAACGTCCAGTTAGAAATATTTAGTTAGAAAAAGGTAAAAGTAAAAATTAGATAACATTTGAAGAAAATTATGTGAGTTTGTGAAAGTGTATGTAAGTTTAAAGATTTTATTCTAAAGCATATAACAAATTTCACATATCTATTAATTTCAAAATAACGTTACTATTTCAGGAATATCTCACCCCTGAGTCATACGTAAACGTAGCGTTGGAAATAATTGACAAGCCCAGATATAAGGCCCGACATCTCTTATAGTTTCTAAAAGTTCAATCATTATTAGTACACAATATTATAATATTTGAGTATTATTACTTAAGAAATATGATATAAATATATTTATAGAGCAATATGAGTACAATATGATATGAATGCAATTATAGAGTAATATAATGAGTTTATTATAGAGTCATATGAGTTCAATTATAGAGCAGTATCATTTGAGTACAATTACAGAGTAATATCATGAGTGCAATTGTAGAGCATATGGAGTTTAAGCAGCGGAAGGTACTTAAAAGTACTAATAATGACCAAGTTTGATGAAAATCAAGTTTATTTCACAGGCGTAGCAACAAGCTGAGATACTTAAGAAACAATGAATGAAAGTCAGAGGGTGAGAGACAGAAAGTATCGTTCTTCCAGCAAGAAACATGTCAAATTTGTTGTCATCCACCCTCACTTAAAAGAGAAAAGACAAATCGAGTAAATAGTGGGTGCAGTCTAGTTAGTGCTATTCAAAATAGTTTAAAAATAATTTAAAATAAAATTAGAAGAGTCGTACTATCGAAATCCAATATTGCGCTAACTAGACCGGCATTCAAAATGAGTAAAATTATTTTCGTTAATTATACATATACTTGAAAGCAGTAGAAATTAGCTAAAGTCCTTGAGTTTGTGAATAATTACTTAAGATTCACCTTGTTAATCATATATATGCAAAATGTACAATTTTTATATGAAAAATAAGTAAAAAAAGTAACTTGCTATAAAAAGTACTTTTTTGTGCACACAATTTTTTTTAAATTGCGTATCACTTGGAACCGAATAACAGTCAATCAAAAACGATTATCAATCAATGATAAATATTAATACATGACGTACATGAGAAATGGGAAAGAGAACAAACCAGAAAAGTAATGAAACTAACGCGTGCAATGCGAAACACTAAATATTAGAAATGAAAGTCAAATGCTCGAGTATACCTCAACCCAAAAGCTCAGGTGAGTAAATACAAATAAATATCTATCCATTCTTTGTGAACAGCTATCTATTTCCGGAGAGGACATATATTTATATATACATATATATATTTATCAGAATTTATTATAAGAGAGCAATCGAATTAATTAGAGTTAACAGACGGAACTTCGAACTACTGCATTTATCGAGTGTAAAAGTGAATTTAGCGAAATAACAAACGTAGTGACAATTAATTGCAATATAACAGCGGATCTTTGAAAGGCGTCCTAATGTATCACAGGCGATCGAATTGCTTAAAAAGTAGATTTCATTCGATTGTAACAAGCCCAATTGCGTTTCTTTATTTTTATGTCTCTTATAAAGACGTAGCACAGGGAGTGAGATAAAATCACTACGACCGAATAAAGATACATCAGAAAGACGAGTGGAAAAGATTCGTAGATTCACACCTTTCACAAGTATATTCGCAGTTGACAACCGTTATCGTTACAATATTCTCTCCCATAGATGAACTATCTTGCCGTTTTTAACGCGCACAGCGGACGTTAGATTGAGAGAAATAACTAAAAGCGCTAAAGTTAGGAAGGCGCCAAAGGAAATGAAACTGATTCACTCGATAATCAAGTAGGCACGATTTTGAGTAAACGAGCAATGTTGCAAACGACACTTCGTAAAGATATAGACAAAATTAGCTTAAATCTCTCAGACGAGTGCGAAATTGATTTCACAGTTTGACCACTCGGCTCCTGTCTGATTTATCGATGTTGCTTTCTCTAGGTTGATCACAACGGCAACAACTGTGACGCCCAACGAGATCATCATCCACATGGAATCATCGATTATAATCGCCGCATGACCGGTATCGCAATCATGAGAACCAGAAAAATTACGAATCTGGTGAGCTAGAATTAATTGTGAATATATTAATGCTGTTTACACTAATAGTATATTTCTACTATTTCTAGTAGTACACTCTAATTTTCTTAGAGTGAAATCTCATTCCGAGAGAGAGTGAACATACAGCCACTTTTAAAGAGTGAAAATATTTCACTCTGAGTGAAATTTCATTCCAAGAAATTTGGAATGTATATACAAATAATATACTTATAGTATATACCAATAATATATGTATATATCATAGTATATACTAATATAGTATTACTTATATATACTTATTGTCGTTCTAGCGTTGCACACCTCGCAGATATAATATACTCCATACATCATGTGCTTCGTACAGGTGAATAGGAGTCGCATTTTAGAGTGGTATACCAATTATATTTGTATAAGAAATTTTGCTCTTTTTTCTTCTTGAACGATTCCTCCCCATTTGTCTCATCTTGCTGTCGATTATCTTTATTAACGGTTCTGATTCTAGTTTATATTTTTTCTTAAGATTATTTGATGTAGAATTCTTAAATTTAAAGAGGGATCATATCGGTTTTATTTCTTTTTTCAAAAAAAGAAACATGAATTTTCAATTTTTATCTTTTATACATAGATCCTTTTGTACTTTAATCCGTTAACTTTGTAAATATATTTATATGTTTTTAATATTAACTTGTGAATGAAATGTTAACATTTACTTGCAAAAATAAAAGTTGTTTATTATATATCGTTACACTACATGATTCTAAATATTTTAATACCAAAACCGAGTTACAAATCTTTTTCAGATTTATTCTTATATCTAATAGAAATAAACATAATATTTTATTATTTATTGTTATAAAGATCGTTATATACTTTTTAAAGTTTAAATACAAAAGTATGTGACATATGTATTTCGATCGATAAAATATCCAATATGTATTCTGATAAAAATTTAGTAACATTAATGTTATAGGTATTTTATTGATCAAAAGATATTTAAAGTATGTGTTTCATTTAGGGTATCTTTAATTAAATTTCGATTAACATAATCAATAATTAATTATGTAAAAATTTCACTAGAAAACACACGCTTACACGGCCCTCGGCTGAGTACAGATGTGTGTAGTGTTGTGTTGACGATAATGGAAAATTGGAACGCAACTAGTATCGCTGTGTGCACGAAAGTATCTAGGGATATTGGAAACACTCATAATATACATATATGTTGTATGTGTGTATTATATTTGTAAAAGAGATCGAAGGCACTTAATTATTCTTTGCTCAAAAGGCTCTACGGAAAATAACATAGAACTTGAATAGAAGTACGAAAAGTAGCACTTATTCTGCTTGTAAAAAGAAAGAAAAATAAAATAAAGTATAATATACATATATCAATGATTCATTTCTTTTTGCAGTTCTTTTACTCTATTCAAGCGTTCTTTTGCATGGGCTAACCATACTTTAATAGGGTTTGTAAGTTCATCGTCTGTTGCATTTGGATGTGAATGTCGTAATACACCTGAAAAAAATTTTTTTTTATTAAACCATTATTTCTTAATTAGAACAAATATCTCTACGTGATTTTTAAGAAGTGACAATTTATTGTATACTTTATTTGTAACACATATATACGAAAGTTAACTAAAAAATATTTATAATTATAAACGTATATTGGAATAAACACTAGATATTTATAAATATCTTAATTTGTAAAAAAATAATATTATTTAATAAATATAAAGATTGTTTTTAAAATTTTACTTACTCATCATTACTTTGCATATCTCCAGTGCTGAGAAAACTAGTTTCTTTTTCGCTCCATACCAACTATATTCTAATGCCAGTTTGTTTGATAATATAACTTTTATCAATCGTATGCAAGATGATCTAACATGTCCACACGTTTTACGATTCAATTGTTTAATCTACAATTATTAAAAATTAGAATTATTTTTTTAATTTATTGAGTAGATCACAAATTGTTATCTTTCATTTTTTCGAAGATACTTTGTAATATTGAAGTACAAATACTACCATCTGATTTCGATATTTTGGATCATCTTTTAATTTTCTCTCCATTATTTTTAAATCATTTTCATCTTTCAGTGGTAAATCAGCAAAAACATCTATATTTTCTTCGTTTTCTACTATATTCTTCGAAATTGCAAGCTTTTGGAAAACAGTCATTTGAAATATGTTCATATCATTTGCTATTACTTTTAAAGTTTTTTCTATATTTATTAGTTTCCGTATGACAAAACATTGAAAATTGTCAAGTTCTGTAAAACATTAAAAACAATTTATTTGTAAATTTGATATTTTCTTTTATCCAATAAAATATTAAATTAAAGATCTTTAAAAAATTCGACAGATTAAGAAAAATATTATGCAAAATTAAATAAAAATAATACAGTGAATATATATATATATATATATATATACACACATATAATTGCATATACTAACTTTGTTCGAAACTTGGCATTGCTAATGACTCACTATTATCATCTTCGTTTTTTTCTTCAACGGTAGAGAAATTTTTATCACATTGTCGATCTGAAAGTTAAAAAACAATATTATCATTATTATTTCATTATAATTTTAACATTGATTTAGTTACATACACAATAATTATATAGTTATCTATCTAGTCAGAAATAGTTCATCGAAAAAAAAAACGTCGTTTCGATGTCGGAAATAAAAGTCAAAAATGTTTTTTTATTTCTGTTAATTTTAATTGATTTTTTACTCTAATTTCGATTAATTTTCAAGTTAAAAATATATTCTTGAATCGATTTTTCAAAATGATATTGACATCTTTTCAACATAGAGAGAGAGAGAGAGAGAGAGAGAGAGAGAGAGTTTAAAAAACAATTCTTTTTAAGTCTCTGAATTATGAAATGTGTTCTTCTTCTATCCTATTTGCAAAATATTTATCATAATTATTTAAATTACAGCTAAAATATTGAGAAAATCGCAATATAAGGAATAATTTTTTAACTTGACAATTTTTTGGACTTGACAACAGTAACTAACCATCAACATGACCATACAGATTTCGTACGTGTTGAACTGATCAATTAATGATTAATTGTGAGACAATTGGATGCCACTCTAAAGAAAACAGGTCGTGAAAATTTGATGAAAAAGTAATGGAAATTGTAACTCGTTACTTTTTGAATAACAGTAACGATAACAAGTTACTTTTTAAAATCAGTGACAAGTAATGTTAACGAGTCATATCTCAGAAAAAAAACAGTAATAGTTACTTTTATAAAGTAACTTTCTTAACCCTGTCGAAAATTAAATTTCGACACAAGTTTTAACAACTTTACGATCTTAATGTCGACATCGACACAACATTGTTAATCGAAGAACTCTTTCTGGCTGTATGTCTATATAAAGTAGTGAATTATTTCATCTTTATATTTAACATTTAGCTATTCTTTTATATATGAATAAAAATATTAAAAAAACCATAATGCAAAATTATTTTAGAATAAATAACATTATGACTGTATAAGAAATAAATTCATTGTTAATCGTAAAATGGAAGGTAAAATAAAAATTGGTCGCGTACTAACCTTGTTTTTTATTTAAGTTTGAATTTGAGAGTGGATCCTTGTTATTATCATTATCATTATTTCCAGAATGGATGTCTTCTATGTCGACAAAGGATATACTTTGTGAAGCTAAAAGATGTTAACATTATTATATACAATTTTAAAATTGATCAATCCAAATGTATGTAATTATATATTTATATTTATATCAATGCTGTAAAATTAGAGAAAATTATTGAAAATGGAATGAAATAGAATATTAATATTTCGATAGTTCTGTTTTTGTCTTATATACATACCCGCCTCTTGTAAATTATAATCGCTATCGTACACTGTTACTGAATTCAATGTCTCATTTGCAGTCATTTTGCTTTTGTAATTGTGAAACAAAAAAATTCAATACTTTTCTATTACCTCAATATTGGTTATTCAGAAAATTTTAATGTCAAATTTAAATATTTTTCCTTGTTTGCTTATTTTTATCTTTCTTTGATATGTCATTATTACTTTACTTTATATTCAAATTCCATAAAAATAAAATACTCAAAAAAATTAAAAAGAATTATTTATTTATTATTTATCCTTTTAAAATTTACTTTGTAAAAAAGCTTTTCAATTGTAATAATATAAAGATTATAATATACGGGAAAAATTGATAGAAAATTTGTTATAAAATGTGTCAAAAATTAACTGTTCGCGCAATAATAATAATAGATATATATACATGTATTACATATAAAAGTGCAAGTATATCTACGTATTTATGTATGTACTTATGATATAAAGCATATAAAATATGTGTATCCGTGAATTATAATTTGTCTTTCTCCTTTTAATAAAAATATAGAATCACATATGAGATACAAACATATTTGATTCTTATAAATAGAAATAAATAGGCACATCTTTTATCTTATTTTACTCTTAATATGTAAGAGAGGATAAATCGTTGTCCTCGAGTGTATACATGTAATACAAATTAGTCTTACCACTGAAATTTATTTCAACAAAAATTATACGTACCTAATTCATCTTCTTTTTCTTTTTTTATGTTGCAATCATCTAACGTTATAATATTCTGTGTGCTTAGACATTCTGTATCGTGAATGCGATTCAAATCTGTAATGCATAAAATGATACTTTATTATTAAAACATTCTATCCCCTTTTTTAGTTTATTATTTCTATAATTAATACTCTTCTATTTTTTATTTCTATTAATGTTTTTGTGTTATTACCTTCTTGTGCGTTTTTTGCGATTTTCTGTTTTTTTGCAACTGACGTAGAGAGACATGTGGAACAACGTTTTTTTATAGAAAGTTTTAGACTTTTAATAGAATTGTCATCTGACAGTTCTTCATCACTATCACTGTCCAAGAGTTTAGCAGCTCTAATTTTTCTTGTTTTTTTAAGATACTCTTCTTTTTTGGTATTGGCACTTAAATTTGACAGTTTTTCAGTTTCTTTTAACTTTTGCTGTGCCACTGCATAATCAGCTACAACATAATAATATAATCCCGATAAAAACATGTATTATTTTCGTGTATTATTAAAGAATATACAAATATATTAATATTAAGTTAATGTTGCAGACAAAATGGCCATTTATTTTTAATTTTGAATGTAAATTTTCATTCGACATACTTTATACATATCCATTTTGTTAATCGAAATAGTCTCCATCCAATACTTTTCCTCCAACGTAATACAAGCGCATCAATGTCTTTTACATAAATTAGAAGAGCAAATTGAATGCACCTTTCACGTTCACTTTCTATTTGAAATATTTTTTCATATAAAAAGCTATTCAGATGCTTAAACAAGTGGCAATATATTGAAGAAAGATCAGGAGAGTAAAGAAGGTGAGGGGAATTTCGCGTTTGTATTCTAATAATTTCTTTTTACAGTTTTGCAAGATACGATCTAGCATTATCATGGAACAATAACATGCTGCATCAAGCTTGTTCACTTTCCTCATTTACCTTGAGGTGTCGGAAAACAGTTGAATAGTGAATATTGATTCTGCGTGCAATATCTTGAACTGATAAATGTGAGTCTACTTCAATCATATCTTTAAAAACATTATCATCAACTGATGGCCTAAATCCGCGAAGCAAATTGTCAAAGTTCGTATCACCAGATCGAAACTTTCGAACCAACATCTGATTTTAATCATTTACAGAGCCTTCCCCAGAAGGGTTTATGCTTTATATTTTCCCGGCCGCACTATGACTAAGTTTGAATTTATTTATCCGCAACAATATTATCCGCATTTTCTTACTTTCCTTATCGAAGAAATGACGATTTTTAACGATGTAAATACTGTGATAAAAATAAGATTATGCATGTGCGAATCTATTACGTGTGAGACATATACTTTATAAATCACTCATATATAATTATACTTGTATAAAAAAAGCCAAATTCGGAAAATTTTAATTATTAAAAACAACCATTTTATCTACAATAATTCGATATTATATGTACCGAAAAGTAACGATAAAGTATCTCAGAGAAGAATATAATAGGTCTGTTTTCTGTGACTGAACTAGTGTACACTTTTGGAATTTAAAGTGAGATAGATATACGTTTGATATTTGTTTAAAGCGAGAAAGAGCGTTCTAGAACAGTCTAGTGCAGGAACAGAAAACAGATCAAATGTAACATTGTTTACTATATATTCCATATATTTTTCGAATGGGATGTTTAATCCAAGTAGATTCCGGCTCTTCCATTAACTTCACCGCTTTGTCATATCGTTTGTAATTTGTAAAATTTGGCCAAACGGCTTTCATTACACATATATCCAACCAATTGTTTGGAATCATTTGAGGACCATCTTCAAATTCAACGACTGCGTAAAATCTTCCGTCGGCCATTCTGTTTAAATAAACATATAAATTATATTTTGGTATTTTTAGAGAAAATTATTGCATATCAGTCACATGGCAATTTGAAATACTTCCTAATAACATTTTTTAATAACTCTGATTTCAGATCCATGTGATTTTTCCCTGAGGCAGAAATGTGAAAAGTGAACAATTTTATCAATGAAGTTAATGGAGAAATTTTTCACTTTTCTTATTTCATTCTAAAAAGGAAAAATTGTATGGTTGATACCCTGAACGTACCAATCATGTAACACAAGTAAAAATTATGAATTTCAAGTGATATAAATTTCAAGAAGATGGATGAAGAACGCCGAATAGATTTTTTCTTCCAAGAATATATAGTATAACCATTGCGATAATTATTTATATTTTACGTCAAAATGTGGTCAGAATAAGATATAAAAATGTAAACGTGTGTAAATTATATCTTGTAAATTATAGATTTTTTGATAATTTAATACTTTTATATGCAAAATAACTATTAGAAGAATCATATTATGTAAAAAATACAATATAAATTAATGGCTCAATTGAAATAAATAAAAAACAGGTAATAACAAGGGTTACGAGCCAATTAAAATTAATAACGTTTAATATTTAAAACTAGATTAGTAAAAAGTACAAACGTTTCGACGCCGATCGGATCATTCTCAATGTTAATATAATAATATTACAATAAATGTCGGATTCTTATATTACAAAAACAGTGTTCTATATCTATACATTCCGTCATCTTGTTTGTTAATCCCATGCTTCTGTCTTTTTATATGGACCATTTCCAATATTAATCTCTTGTTGTAAGAGGATTCAATGTTCAAAATTTCAATATTATCCCACTTAAAATTGTGATTATGATCAATGCGATGGTTGAAAATCACCGATGGCGATTTAGATCTTCTATTAATATCGGAAGCGTGTTCCTGTAATCTTGTATTTAATTGTCTTTTTGTTTGACCTACGTAACTAGCATTGCAATTATTACAAGAGATCTTATAGACTACGTTTTGATTGCATAATGGATCCAAATCGTCTTTTCCTTTTTTTATGAAATTTTTAAGCGAATTTGGAATAGAATAATTTACAGTTGAACATATTAATAATTGGAGAGAATTTCTGAGATACGGATTTCACATAAGGGATTGTGAAAAACTTCTTAACTTTTTTGTTAACAGTTCTGTTAGTATTATTCATATAAAATTGAATTCTTTTTTGTATAGAGGAAAAGATACAGGTAAAAAATACATTTCCGTAGAATTATGTAAAAAAATAATAAAAATTCATTTTAAAAATGACAATATTATGTAAATGACCATGTTATATTGAAAAATTGATTTTTTCATTTATATTTTTTTTATCATTTATATTTATCCCTTTTTAGACTTTTTAGAAAATTAATTTTATCATTTATATTTATCCCTTTTTAGACCATACTTTTTTTTCGAAAACGCTTTTTTGGAGATAATTAACTGTATCACTTAAATAAAACACCTTTTATATTATTATATAAAAATTATATATTATATTTATATATACAATTTCGAAGTTATTCTTCATGGTAGAAGATGCAAGGTAAATTTGAAAAGTTTAATAGCCTAAAAAATTTAACTCTTATATTATTATATAAAAAGGATAATAATAGAGTTACAATTTCTTGAATATTCTCCGAATTTAACACCTTATATTTGCTATATAAGTTTACCCGCAGGTAGAATTGATCTGTACAATTCTCGAGTATAATCTGAGAGAAACGTGCAGAGCTCAACACAATACAGACACACACAGTTGCACACAGTTACATGACAAGCACACATAAATACATATCGTCGATTTTACATTCAAAACACTGTCCCCATCTTACTGTTTGTACTAGGCTTTGTAAAAGTGTGTGATGACTTTCAAGCGGTTCTACTGCTGAATATCGTTTGGTCGAATCAGTTTCTGGTTGAGGGACTGGAAGTCATTCAAAAAAACCTCAGAAAAAAAAAGAAAAGAATTCCACAAGTTAAACACATCGAGCTTATTTTATTCATATCAGCTCTAGTTAAAGAGTTGGCAGTCAGGCATCCTCTTAAGAAGAAGAAACTATTTTCACAAGTAAGAATAACCTCAAATTTGTATACGATACAGTTTTATCACAATTGTTAAATATATTTAACAAATATGATATAATTTATTTATACAAATATCTCCGATATTTTTAGATAATATAATATCGAATGTAATATTAAGTAAAAAAGAAGGAATACCTCTGACAAAGTCACGTTGTTTTTCTCGTAACTGCATAGAACAAACTCGCATGGATCGGAATTAGAATTACGTATCTAGATGGCGTTAGTTTACGCAATGTTCATTTCTATATTCTGAGTATATTCTGAAAATATACAATTCAGTATACCTATGCCTATAAATATCGGAGATATATTTGCATAAATTATATCATATTTGTGTTAATATATACAATATTGATGCACGCGCACTACATAATGAGAGATACTGCACACATACAAGATGCGATATTATAATACGAAGCCTTACAAAGAGCCGGGCCCCTATTCTCGAAAAGTATCGCATACGAAAAACTAGGGAAGTGCTATAATATACGTAACGCATACTATAGTATTTCTCTAATTTTCGTATGCGATACTTTTCGAGAATAGGGGCCCAAGTTCACTTTTTGGTAAATTTTACCTGTTAGGTAAATTTGGCAACAGCGTATGTGATTGGATAACCTTGCTATTTACTTTATAGGTAAAATTTACCAAAAGATGGAACAATCGGCCCAAATTAACTACGATCGCAGTATAAGAATCGGAGTTTATACGAGTACATCTCATATATGAAATATTATACTTACGTTGCTATTCAAACATTTTTCGTAAATAGGGGGTATATGCGAGGATAAGAGAGAGAGATAGAAAATCAGGATGCTCTCACTTTCATAATTCGTATATAATTCTACAGGGTGAATCAGAGTCGTTGAACCAACTTTTTACCCTATGAGAAAATTATCGACTGTACATGTTATAATCCAATTAGGAATGAAGTCGATAATTTTCTCATAGGGTAAAAAGCTGGTTCAACGCTGTGGTCTCAACTCCGATTCATCCCGGGTCACCTGGATGCTTTCCATTTGATGACACAAGTCGACACAAGTGTCGTTCTATCTTTGTCACTCTCTGAATGTCAACAAGGATAGAACGACGCTTGTGTCGACTTGTGTCATCAAATGGAAAGCACCCCTGTATACTTTGAACGCGCATGCGTAGTTATATGTGTGTGTGTGTGTACTACATATCAACTCACGGATCGCATGCATGGCGTATACAGGGTATCCCGACCTTTTTTGCCAATCACTTTTGTGTAGATAGAGCGGACTAAACTGAGTCGAAAAGTCCTCTACCATTTTGCAATTTTCGCAATAGTTAACAAGATATTAATTACTAAAAATTGATAAATATTGATCTTGAATAATTTTTTACTCAAAAATACCATCAACTTTTCAGAAAAACTGTAAGAGACAAAAATTATTTATTTTCTTCTCATAAAGTTCTGAGAATTTTTTCAGAATTTTTTAATACCGTATTTTCTCATGTTGGTAAAAATAAGAAAATGCAGTACTAAAAAGTTGATAAAAAATTCTGAAAAAATTCTCAGAACTTTATGAGAAGAAAATAAATAATTTTTGTCCCTTGCAGTTTTTCTATAAAGTTGATAGTATTTGAGTAAAAAATTATTCAAGATTAATATTTTGTAATTTTTAGTAATTAATATCTTGTTAACTAGTGCGAAAATTGCAAAATGGTAGAGGACTTTTCGACTCAGTTTAGTCCGCTCTATCTACACAAAAGTGATTGGCAAAAAAGGTCGGGACACCCTGTATATTAGGCCTGTTCTTTTTGACTGACTTTTTGCATCAGTTCATCTTTTTCCCTCTTCTTTCCTCCTGGATAATGCGTTTGAAAATAAATTTGGCCATTGTGCCAACAAAAGAAGTAAATATAAAACAAAAGAAGTAAATATATACATACATATAAGAATAAAATTATTTATTTATAAAATTGGCGAGTATTTTTTGTAAAAAGTGGGCGCAGTTCAGCCTTGTGTCCCTATAAAAAATCGTAAATTTTTTCTCTTCCCGAATTGTTTACAAATAATTCACAACACGTGAAAAACCGAGCCCGAGCTGGGGATGGGGACGGGTGAGGGAATTCAGGGAATTATTCAGACTAAAGCTTGAAACACAATAGACACAGGCAATAGGCACAGGCAACAGGGAATAACGAGCCGTCCAAT